TTACTATATACCTTACTAAGGCACTCATTTTCTTCCTAAATTATTCTTCTATCACATGCATATTTTGATTTTTGGATCAACAGAACCCTTACACAGCTTCAGTTGCATTCGGGTCAGAATATTTAAATTTCCCGGCGAAAAGCAACGTAACTGGCAAACATGTCGTTTTTCAGTAAGATAGACGAAATGGGAGATAACTCTTGTCATTCGGAAACTTCCGGGTTGATCATGATGCATTTACTACAACGATAACTCCTCATAGACTGACGAGTGCTGTCCCCTAACTTGATACCTACGCTCAATCGATCAGATTTGAGACAGATTTACACGCCAATAATCCTTCATAAAAATTAAACACCAAACGAAAATTTCTTCAAACAGTCATTGCATGTGTTGTTTCAATGTCAGATTATCCTCCTATCCTTCCGCCCATTGAAAATATGAAATGGTTGTCCCCAAACTATTGGGGTTTGTTCATAAAGGAATGTGACTTTCTGTCAGACATCTTCCTGATATTTTTCACATCAAGGATTAATGTAGTACAACATGTATATAATCAGAGGCTGATTTATGGGGACAAGGGACCTCCTAATGGAGCTTCATACATGCATGTATGATAAATGCATAGACTTTTTCAAAGTATTAATCCAAAAGTTGGCCTACCAACCAGCCTCCCCACCCCCTTTTTTTCAAATCCTGGTACTGTTACTGAACATGGTAAATCCCGTTGAACACGTCAATATTTTTTAGTAACTACTTCATTTTATTGATGTGTCTACCAAAAAGTCAGTGATTTATGTTACCCCTTTTGCAGAAAGGTTCTATTTGTTTATAAATTTGCGCTCGATATTTATGAGGAGTTATCGCTGTAGTAAACGCATCAACCCGGAAGTTTCCTAATGACAAGAATTATCTTCCATTTCGTCTATCTTACTGAAAAACAACGTTTGCCAGTTACGTTGTTTTCGCTGGGAAATTTTAATATTCTGACCCAAATGCAACTGAAGCTGCGTAAGGGTTCTGTTGATCCAAAAATCAAAATATGCATGTGATAGAATAATAATTTAGGAAGAAAATGAGTGCCTTTGTAAGGTATATAGTAATTTTTAATATTTTTAATTATTTTTTATCTAAAGTAGGGAAGGCAATTCAAGATGGCGACTTACATCCCTTTAGGATTTTTCAGTATACGGATATGGATAGTAAACTGCACATTGCTAGAAAACAAAGAAATAGTGATGTCAACGTCAAATATGTTAATAAAGTAATACAAATAGACAGGAAATACTAAAAAAAAATAAAAAACATTAATTAACAAAATTTTCGGTACCACGATTTCCCGAGAAGTTCAAGAACAACTTAATATCCCGAAAACAAACAGATTTATCCCGATAACAAGATTTTTTATGGTGTTATACTACTTTTAACAATATTAAAGAATATTAAGTAAAGAGATTACTTGTTTTTACTCAATAAAAATGCAATTTCACTTCAAGAATTTGATTTTTATGTGTTGTATGCAAATTCCTTGTTGAAAACAATATGGCGGACATAATTATTCAAAAGGTAGACAACTTAAAAAAAATAAAAGTATTGAAAGTACTGTAAGAATATATTCTATAAAAAAAAACTGAAATGATGAAAAGTTAATACAGTTATTATACATGTTATAACTTCATTCGGGTATTTAAGCTTATCAAATTATTTCCTTTATTTTACATTTATATGATAAACTGATTGTGTTCAATAAATATTTTTAATGCCATTAATTATGATTCGTCCAATTTATTAACTGAAAAAACATGTTTCCAAAATCTTAGTAATTATATTGTTTTCTTATGATATGATTAAATGCTGTTATTACTGTACAATTTTCTCAAAATATCTCCTTTTAAGCTAAAGCTTGGTGTTGTTTCAATACAGAATACTAAATTTTCTCAAATTTTGTTCTTCAAAGAAATATGAAGACAATGGCTTGGTACTATTTTAATAACATCGGTATATAAAAAGTAATTTTCAATTTTGTTGCTTATTCTTCCAAAATGTCAGAGGAAATGAATTATCCCTGTATAAAATGTACTGAAGATTGTGTCATTGATGCAATTCAGTGCACTGGCTGTGAGAAATGGGTCCACACCAAATGTGTACCCATGAGTGATTTATTATTAGAGAAATGGTCTGATGCTAATCTGTGTTTTCTATGTGAGAGTTGTAGTTTCACAAATGGAGAGTTTCGACGGGGTGAAATCTTTGAAAAGATAGGCATTTTTTTAAATATAATAATATTTGATATCATTTAAATTTTCCTTTTTTGTTTTTGGTTTGTTTTCTGTTTATTTAATTTCATATTCAATATTTATTTTACCCATATTATCTCATTAGAAGGTAACATTATGCAATACCTGATTTAAAACATAATATAAGTAATCTGTGATAAATTCACAGAGCTCCAGATAAGAATTCACAAATTGGGGTTTTTACCCACCATTTTTTTTATGTAATTGGGTGATAAAGTTTTTAAATTGCATTATCAATTCCAATTCACCCCTCAAGCAAATATCAAACTGGGTTTTTCACCACCAAGCTCCTTAATGTATTGGGTTTTTTCATCAACACAATATTGAATGTTTAGGCATGTTATAATCACATTATATCAACCCCATGCAGATGTTTTTCCATCTTAAATGTTTTCTTTCTTTGTATATATGCTAGCTGTTTTATTTGGTTTATTCACTGACGAGCAATTGTACGTTTAATTTGTGTCCGATTTTAAACGTTCTGCCAGTTTTGTATTTTCTCACAACTTATATAAACTGCAGCTGGTGTCACTAGTTGGACAGTTACTAATTACCTTTCTAGATCCCATATGATCACCCTACAGTTCAGTTGGGGTAGGCGTGGCTAAGTGTTTAGATTTTTATGTAATATATGTGAAATTTAGGTGCTGTAAGAAAGTTTTGCCAGTCCTTTCACCTATTTGCTAGATCTACTTTTTAATAAAAATAATAAGTAGTTCCCAGATTTAAGATATACCCCAAAACCTTGACCAGGTTTATAGGTTTAATGACGGAGACCACATTCAACTTAAATTTACAGTGTTAAATTTACAAATAATTCTGCAACATCAAATAAATAAATGACAATGTTAAACTGCACTTGCCAATAAGACAACTGTCATAAGCATACAGAACAATAAGACCAAAACAAAAAAAGTGTCAAGATGCATTGACGTAAAAAACGGATATGTGTATTCACTCATCAACTAAATTGAAAAAAATAATATATAAACTAAAATTATACTTGAATGTTTTTGTTTAATTTAATTTACATAAATCTGGGTTAAGTCATGTAAGTTGTCCCAGCTGATTAGAACTTTTAGTTTTGATGCTTTCCAACTACATATATCATGTCATAATTGATTTGGCCTTTCACTTTTCCAACTGATTTCGTTATTGACAAAACCCCGTGTTTATAGTTCTAGCAATGTTCTCGTTAAGGTAGGCAAAAGGGTTTTGTTATCATCATAATAACTTTCCCTAAAGTATCAAAAAGAAGCTGAAAACATGCTTCTATTCAATATTTTTATCGGATATTTACTTTCGTTTTAATTCATTGTATGTTATGATAAATCCTGAGCAATTCAAAAAAAATATGACAACAAGACAAACGCTAATTGGATAAACGCCGAGAAGATCGAAATGTTTTCATAAACACGTGTACCTTTTGAGCAACGGAAAATTCCAACAGGGACCTATTTCAGCTACTTGATGCAGGGCTCTATTTTTAGAAGGAAAGGACATTTCCAATTATTTCCAATTATAAATATTATAAAAATAGATTTACGGGACGACTGTAATCAGATAAGGGTAAATAACCCAAACGATAGCGAATAAAAGCGTTAAGAACTCATGGTTTTGGCATATAATTGGGTTTTCCTTTGAATGAATTGGGTTTTTGAACCCTGCAATGGGCAATTGCATTGAGTTTTTAATTATTTGTATTGCGTGATCACGCAAATACGCAGCTTATCTGGAGCTCTGATTCATTATGTCTTTCTGATCTTTCCACTTAACAACGATTACAGACACGTGTCCAGCACCTTTTGCAATAACTTGTTAATTAGTATATACACTTATGACATGTATATTCATTGTTAAATTGAAACGCCTAGAAATAAGATAATTAATATATTTCCAATTGATGTCCCTTAATGACATCAGTACATTTTAATCCTATTAATTACAGTCTGTATTACAAAAGTACACACATGTGGTTCAAGTCGAATTATCTACCTTATGAATAATTACATCCCCCATATTGTTTTCAACAAGGAATTTGCATACAAGACATACAAATCGACTTCCTGAAGATAACTTGTACTTTTATTGATTATACACGACTAAAACATCTTAAACCTGATAATTGTATGCTGTTACACTAATTTAAGCAGTATAACACCATGCAAAATCTTGTTATCCGGACAAATCAGATTGTTTTCGGGATATTATTTTGTTCTTGTTATTCTCGGGAAATCGTGGTACCCCAAAATTTTACTTCTACTTCTACCAATACGCGGCCACCATCAATAAGTTGATTATTTTGCCACTTTTTGGATGCGCATTTAAAATTTAGACGAAAAAATAAATATTGAATTGATTTTTAACCTGCTTACCGAGTCCCTGTGGAATTTGATGCGACTGTCATACAAGTGAGAGGCTTAGCTAGCTTTAAAACCAGGTTCAATCCACCATTTTCTACATAAGAAAATATATGACAGTTGTTATCCATTCGTTTGATGTGTTTGAGCTTTTGATTTTGCCATTTGATTAGGGACTTTCCTTTTTGAATTTTCCTCGGAGTTCAGTATTTTTGTGATTTTACTTTTTACTACACCTGGAACAAAGACATATTTTTTTTCATTTTTGATGAATTCTCATTCGTCTTTGTGACATGGGTTGTAGCGTTTATACCTTATTTTGTAACATGACTGTCAGTATTACCTGTAGTGACCCTACATCATTTTCAAAGTTCATTTCTTCACACTTTCCATACTTAATTTTTCTTAGGTGGCGCTTGTGAAAACAGGAAGCACAAAAAAAATCTAATCGGACACGGTAATGTCGAGATCAGTTCCGGTTTTTTTTTCATATTCACATGTGTATTTGGTTCGTAGCATACATGAATCATTGAGTACATACATAAACATATTCACATTTAAAAATTCCAAAGTTAAGGTGGATCATCGCTGTATAATTTGTTTGTGCTTAACCATAACTGAACATTTTACTAAACTCCGGCCGTAAACGGACAGAAAGTAACAAATTTGATAGGACAAAATCATCACAAATAAGTTGATTTGTTGACAATTGTTTGGATATACATAGATATAATAGCATGTTATATCTTTCGGATGTTTAAGCGAAAGATGTTGAAATGATTAATATATATTCTTTTTATTATCATATATAATTCATTTGAAAGGAAACTGTTCATTAGTCTTGATACTTGTGAAACTCAGACTTGAAATGTTTTCTTTTTTGGCAGTGGCTATTTTGCGATTTATATAGAGTTTTGCTATTTTGTCGAAGAGAGAGAGAGAGCCAATTAAGGATCATAATTAGCCCTAAATAATAACTACATAAATATTAGGAATCAGTATCACAAAACTTTACTTGTCACGGCAAACTGTGACGTCACAAGTTAAAAATTAGTGACCGCTGTGGATTCTATTATGATAAAATACGTATATTTACATATATTCTTCTTCATGACACATATATATGACAGTTTAACAATGAAAAACATGGGCACGAATTGATAAAAGAAAACAAAAGAGTAACGAATTCAAAAAAAAGGGGGAGTGCATTTTTTTATCCTATCACCAAGTACCTGTTTGTAAATGGCAGTGGCTATTTTGCAACGCTTGTAAAACAGTTTTAGGTTGTTGAATGTTACTTTTTATTTCAAAACTAATAGGATATTTTCATTTAAAGTTTTAATCAGAATATCGATTTTTTATTTGGGTTGGCATACTAATTTGCTCAGTTATGTGTATATCTATTATATATTTTAAAAAAGGCACTTGATTGATTGATTGATTATCTTTATTTTCTCCATATATATATGAAGATCATTACAATTTATATTATAAGAACAGCATCAAAAACATTACACAAACATATTTACATATTCTAAACAACATCTAAGTATAACACCATTAAAAAAAATTCGTAAGGGTTCTGCGGAACCCAGTGTCTCGCCTACTTTTGCTGTTAATCGCAGGCTCAACAAAAATGAGGAAAAAAATTAATAAAAATATTCCTCTCTATACTATCTTTTGATTGTAAGTAGCTTCTGTCCAAGTTTGGTAAAAATCCAGGATAGTTTATGAATCTAATAAATGTTTTAAAAACTTAAACTGCAGACTGTATGTAATGTTAACTGGAAGAAAAACAAAGTCCATTTATAAGTAAAAAACGGAAAAAGTGGAACAAAATTTTAACAAATTTTCCTTCTAGATACTAGCTTTTAATCATAAACAAGCCACAGTCCAAGTTTGGTACAAATCCAGGATAGTTTAAGAAAGTTGTTAAAATTTAAAAAAAACTTTAACCACAGAGTGAATGTAATGTAAACTGGCAGAAAAACTAAGTCCATTTATAAGTTAAATAAGGAAAAAATGGATTTTTTTTACAAATTTTACTTCTGGATACTATCTTATGATCATAAACAAGCTTCTTTCTAAGTTTGGTAGAAATCCAGGATAGTTTAAGAAAGTTATTAAAATTTTGAAAACTTTAACCACAGAGTGAATGTAATGTTTCCTGGCAGAAAAACTAAGTCCATTTATAAGTAAAATACGGAAAAAATGGATTTTTTTTTTTTACAAAATTTACTTCTGGATACTATCTTATGATCATAAACAAGCTTCTTTCCAAGTTTGGTAGAAATCCAGGATAGTTTAAGAAAGTTATTAAAATTTCAAAAACTTTAACCACAGAGTGAATATTTGTGGACGCCGCCGACGACGACGACGACGCCGCCGACGGAATGTAGGATCGCTATGTCTCGCTTTTTCGACAAAAGTCGAAGGCTCGACAAAAAGGACATAAATATTTACATAATTATATGAAATACAGTCGAAAAAAAAGTCTATTATTCACCAATTTTCATACAAGAACAACATTAGTTGAGATCAAATATGTGACTATAAAGATCATAATTGAAGACCTGATATAGTTTATACATATAATCTGCTATGTGGCACATCAAGAGGCTCCATACATCAGCATTTATAGTTTGCATGGTATGATTCATACTTCCAAGTAACGACTCTACAATTTCGTCATCATCTTGATTAAAGAAACGGACGGAATCTTCTACGTCAAGAATATCAACTATTTTGTAGTACATTTCTGTCCGAATTTGTAAAAGGGATGTACAGCATAGTATATAATGCATAAGTATATCCGTATTATATAAGTTACACAAAGAGCATTTGTCTGTTTTAATAGCTATGGCTCCTAATTTCACAAGCGTCATAAATTTTGAATTTAAAGATGGATAAGTTACCACTAGTCGTAACTAACAATGCTCCGTCAAACATGTATGTATTTTATAGTACCGCTTAAGTTCTGGTCGCCGTTCAACTGAGTGTTTCCATTTGTTTTCTTCGTATATGTCTAAAAGTCTGTTTTACAATTTTGCTCCACAGTAGTTTGTCTGGAAAGAAATTTTCAGCCACAAAGTTTTCAACAAAAACATCAAATTCATATTTCATCAAAATTTTGATATAATCGTAAGTCAATGATATTTGACTGGACTCACCGGCTAATATTTGTCCCATACGAAAATTAAACATCCGTTTATGTATTGTTGTTGATTTTGCACGACACAACCTTCCAAAAAACAAAAGTTTCATTTTACCAATATATCCTTCTACTGACCACAACCCAACATTACTAATGCAAGAGTCAGTCGGACTGCGTTTATCCATCATTAGTATAAATCTGACGAAATATCTTTGAGTTATTTCCAACATTTCAACTTCACGGTAGGGTATCTGACCCCAAATTTCACATCCATAAAGTGCAGTTGTAAGAAATCTCTTTTCCATATCAAGTTATTTGTTAAGGCACTCATCCATCGTGGATTAACACCAACAGTATAAAATGAGTGACGTTTCTGTTTTAATTTTTTACTGGATTTATCTGATCTGTCGAAAGTTTTTCCATCTGAGTTAATAAGTGTTCCAGCGTAAATACATGTACGTTTTCTTTCGAGTACAATATTACCTAGGTTAAGACATGCTGCAGAGTCCTTAGTGTTGCGAGTCTTTCTTGGTGGTGTAAAAGTCAAAACACTGCTTTTCGATGCATTATATTTTAACCGCCATTTGAGCGCATAGCTGTTAACAATGCTTAATAATGTCTGAGCACCATTTACAGTTGCGCTTAATAAAGTTGTGTCATCGGCTAACAAGATTGTTGGTATGCTGATCGGGCCTACTAGTAGTCCACAATTTGTCGATAAGAGTTCACAAATCAAGTCATTAATAAATACGGAAAATAACCAGGCAGACAACACACTACTCCCGAAACACTTGACTTGTTAGTCCACTATGCTGCACATGTGCTGTATGCTGCACATGTGCTGTATGCTGCACATGTGCTGTTGCAGTTTTATACGACATATATATCAGATTCCACAATTTACCTTGAATTCCAATTTGGTTCAGTTTGTATAATAGGCCATCTTGCCACACTCGATCAAAAGCCTTTTCGTTGTCAAGAAAAATGGCATAAACAATCGAATTACGTTCTAGATAATAATGAATTGCTTCTTTCAAGGTGTATATAGCCGGTATCACACCATGTTCTTTTACAAATCCAAACTGGAGTGGATGCGGCATCACACTATTGATATCAACAAGGAGTTTATGCATACGATTTCAAAAAGTTTTCCTAATGAAGAAGTTAAAGTAGCGGCACGATAACTATTTGGATTTGTTTTGTCTTTATTATTTCTTTTATAAAGAGGTATAATTATTCCATGTCTAAATGATATAGGTAGGTATTCCTGTTCGAGAATTAAATTGTATAATACGCTCAGATGTTTTAATTATGTTTCACCACCATATAGTATGTGTTAATTTGATATATAATCTTGTCCTGGTGATTTACCGGATTTCAAGGTTCGGACCTGATCCTTGATTTCATCTACAGTTATCGGTTTGTCGAGAGTATCAATATAACCCTTGTATTTATTGTTGAAAAGATCATGGACTTTTTTGGAAATTTTCCCGTGAAATTCTTTATCAAAGCAGTTCTCTTCTTTTATAGAGTATAAATTTTCAAAATATTTTCCCCATAACATACATATATCTCCAGGTGTCTTTGCTTCGGTATCGTCATAAACAAGTTTATCTGTTGCCGGTCCCTGTTTCCTCATTTTACGCGCTGTTCTGAAGAATTCCCCGATGTCAACTTCTGCCGCATTTTTAATGTCCTCATACTTTTCTTCTCGCCATAGTTTTTTCGGCCTGACGTTTACGTTTCCTAAATATTCTTTTTTTATCTTTATACTCTTAGTAAAGGCGGTTAGATTTGTTACGAGGCTTGTTATTATTTTTCCATTCACGACGTGCTTCGCGCTGTTCGTAATCAACTGTATTTAAGTCATTGGATTTCCAATATGGTTTAAGGTAATGACGAAACGTTTCCACACGGAATATACGCATTCGCCGACATATGTAGTGCATTAGTCAAAACTGCATTATAATGTTCGTTTGATGCGTTTGAGCTTTTGATTTTGCCATTGGATTAGGGACTTTTTCCGTTTTGAATTTTCCTCAGAGTTCGGTATTTTTGTGATTTTACTTTTTGATATTTGTTTCTACGTAAACAGAAACATTAGTTCATCAATATCATTATGCAGTGACATCTTATACAAAATATTAATAAGGAGATAGTGTATGATGCCAATAAGACAACTATCAATCAGAGTAACAATGACACATATATAAAGCAATTATATGTATGTCACCGTACGGCCTTTAACAATGAAAACCCTATTTTTT